GGTGAGTGAGGGATGGGACTGTGTGAGGCATTCCAACCATGGTGAGTGCAGGATGGGACTGAGTGAGGCATTCCAGCCACGGTGTGTGTGGGATGGGACTGAGTGAGGCATTCCAGCCACGGTGTGTGTGGGATGGGGACCGTGTAGGACATTTCAACCATGGTGAGTGCAGAAAGGGCTCAGCCTGGGACATCGTCACCCACCCAGGACCCACACACCCAGCAGTGGGAAAATGCAAGTCACTCACAAAAGGTGCTTGGCTTCAGCACCCTGAGGAATGAATCAACACAGCCCTGCTTCTTGCAGTGCTGGGAGCACAGTTAGGTGTGGTTTGGGGTGCAGTGGGTGTAAGGTTGGGGAGAAAACATGGGAATTGCTTTGGAAGTTGTGTAATGATCCAAAATCCCTAAGAGGTGTTTATTACTAAGGCACAGCAAATCCCTCACCTGCATTTGTAAACTGGCTAGTGCATCACAGCTATAGAGCCAGGAATAATGGACATCCTGAACTGGCAGGAACCCACAAGGATCATGGAGTCCAACTTGTGGCCCTGCACAGACAATCCCAAGAATCCCACCCGATGCATACATGAGACCAGGTGTGTACAACATGGAGGGAATGTATTCCCCCTGTACATTCCCATGTTGTTACACACATACCTCTCCTGATCAAACATTTGACCTTTCTGCAGATGTTTCAATGGCAGGTCAAGCCCCAGCCATGGTTAAGCCTTGTAGCTGGTCCATGAATGGTGTGTAGGACACAGTATTGATTGTCTGCACAAAGATAAATTATGACTATCACTTTCTAAGTAGATTAGACTAAAAAACTTTTAAAAAACCCTAATTTGTGACTTGGTAGGACTATAAAAACAGCTCTGCTCCTAAGAAATTGGAATATCATTTATGAATTGGACCCTTCAGAAAAATAAATGCTTTCCTGATTTTCAGATGACGTTTTTTCCAAGATGCCCTCAGTTCCATGCCTTTAGTGTCACTTTGGAGTCCCATCTGCTCTTGCTGCCCTTGGTGGGAGATGGGAACACTCAGCAACTTCTCCACTAAACTCAGCTGCTTGGGTCTGAAGCCCAGGCTTGTGGGTAAATGAATTGTGAGTGCAGGGTCTGAACAGTCCCTTTTACTTACAGAAGTGACTCCTGGTGAATGTTTTTTTAGCTGTCACTTCAGTCTCCTGGCCATCAGCTTCATCCCATTGCCCTCAGACAGCTTTTTCTTGCTGTCCTCCCTGGATCATTCTTGATTACCATCTCTTTTCCCTTGCCTCCACTGCTAAAGACATTCCTGGTTTCCTTTAGGACTCCATTCCCATGAGGAAAACACACACAACTACATTTCTGGGCAGTTTCCTAAGATGTGCAGTTGTGTGGGGGTCAGGGCTGGTTGGTTTCAGGGGCTTTCTTCACAGGAGATGTGGGATTCCCTATCTCAATGCTGTCCAGGTGGTGTACAATCCCCATTCCTGATCCCAATGCTGTCCAGGTGCTGTACAATCCCTAATTGCATTCCCAGGTGGTGTACAGTGCCCTGACACTCTGGACTTGGCTCCTCACTGAGGTTTGGTAGGGAGATGAGGACACAATCAAGTTTTCCTGGCACTCCATGACTTGAAAACCGTTCATGATGTTTGGGGATTTTAATTTCTCTCCTGGAACAAGTGTAATGGGTTTGACAAAGCTTTTGGCAGCCTGTTTTTTTCTTAAAGTTCAGCACATCACTCTAGGGGCCAATCCTGAACTGGCAGAAGCTGGGTTTAGATGACCTAAGAGGTCTTTTCCATCTCCAAAGGTTGTGAGTCTGCACTTCATTATATTTCATATGGCTTAGCTATTGCTCATTTATGCATCTGTTCCAGGATTTATCCCTCTCAGCTTTTCCTGTGGTCCAGTTTTTATCTGACAGACAATTCCTCAAGGATTTTTCTTACTTCTGCCCAGTGGGGTGAGAAGCAGATAAAGACAGTCTGGATTAGGATCTACTGTTGAACCAGGAATAGAGTTTCAACAGCTATCAAGGAAGCAGGAGCCCCTTTCATGTGGATTTCCTGGAGTTATGTAACCCCGTGGAGATCTAGGTGCTGCAAGTGGGAAAATGATCCCTGACAAGCACCTCAAATTGAACTCTGCCCTTGGAGAGAATTTTTTTCCCAAGAGCTTCATATTGATTCCTATTCATTTGCACATCACTGAAAAATATTGATTTATTAATACTTCTTAAAATCTTTTTTGCAAACAATTCTGCTGACAGAAACAGGTGTGTGAGCAATCTTACAAAGTTACAGCTATGTGCAGCAAAACAATGGACTGTAAGGACTGTGGTAGAAAATTTGGCTGTGCTCTTTTATTAAAAAACAGTTGAAAAGAGAAAGGAACTTTGAAAAATCCTTCATCTTTGATTGTGAAATACAATTTAGTGGGATAAGGAGCACAGGTCAGGGCAATACTCACTCCACCTCTTCCCAAAGTGCCAAGTTCCCATTTACCAGGGCAGATTTGGCAAGGGCAGGACAAAGACAAATGTCATGTCTGATCAGAAGTAGCCTTTCTGCCCCTGCTGTGATCTGCCACTCCTGGAAAGGAATGTATTTCACTGGGCTTTAGCCAAGGACTTGGAGGAGCTCATGGCTACAATGCATTTCTTTCTCCCAGGAAGCAGAGTTAAACTGGGAAAGCTGCAGAGAATCAGTGCTGGGAGCCGCCCTGGCATTCAGCAGCTTCCTGTCCCCCTCTGGTATAAATACCAGCCCAGCCTGTGTTTCTGGGATTTCTGGGCAGAGCAAAGGCTTTGGGATTTAGTGAGCACCACTGGGAAATGGCATTCAGATGTTTGGAGTGTGGGTTGTTGTGCTGTTCCCCTCTCAAATTCCCTCTTGTCTTTGCCCTTTATATTCATTGATGAAGGCTTGCTGGTTTGAGGAGACAATGATCTCCTTCACCAGCAATGGAACATGAAGATCAAATGCTTTTTGTGTTTATTTTGTGAGGTGGTGTGCTTAGGGCTAATCAGTGAGAAGACAAGTACCCAGGGAGTAGCAGAGGAGCCCCAACAGCGTGGTGGGTGCAGGGGGTCCCTGGAGGGGACTGCTGACTGTTCTCTGCTGCTCCCCAAGTGTCTCTGCAGGTCACACCTACAGCAGTGTAGGATTTTGAACACTCCTCAGCTTTTTAAAGAAGCTGTGCTTGAGTTTAGGTGGAGTGTGGAGGAAGCAGTTTAGCATCTCCTCCAATTTTATGAGCTGCTGCCAGGTGAGATTGGGGTGGCAGCATGGAATCCTTTAGTTTGCCTGAGCTCCATGATCCACTTTGATCCACAAGCTGGACTTACTTGGTTCCATCTTGCTCCCTGTTTCCTTGGTGAAATGTGACAAGTGCACACCTCAAATTTGGGGGAAATCTGCTGCTAAAGTGGCCACCTAGCCCCCAGTGGGGATGTTCTGTCAGTCCCACAATGGCAACAGTGAGGAAAGGCCCAGAATATTCACAGGACTCCAATATTAGCTATTCCCCAGGTTTTAATCCTTTATGTTTGCATGCCTTGAAAATCAGACTGAAGTTTCTTCTGAATACTTCTTAAATTACTCGTTGTTTTTAAGTCTTCTTGCTTCCTATATGAGTTTCATTCAGTATTTGCTGTTGAAAGTGGGGAATCCTGACCACTTGGTGCTCGGATAGAGGGAAGTCTGCATGATGGGAAGGAAGTGACAACTAGCTCATTCTGGGAGACACACAGTTTCACTTCGTGATTTTATTTTTTTTGTGTCTGGTTTGATTTCACATCCACATCTTGACAGTCACCCTCCTGACACAGGAAGCTGAGGGACTTTCAAAACCATATCCTGTCATCTCCGATTTCAACAGAAACAACAACAAAAATTATTTTGAGCAATAAATATATTAAAGAAATACATTAAGCAAGAGAAAAAGGCAAAAACTGTGGAGGGGAGATTTTTTTTCTCCATCTCTGACTTTCAGGTTTGCCATTATCAGTGTCTGCATTTCCTTTCTCAGTTCTGAATTCATCTGACAGATGTTTTCTTCATAGTTATTTCTAAATTTCTTATGTTACATGTCTATAGTACCTGTATAGGACTTACCAACTCTTGGACCAGAATTCAGAATAATTCTGGGAGCACTGATAAAGGCTGAGAAGCTGACATTACATCCTTGAGCTGAGGGATGAATGTGTCTGTATATCTCTATATACAGAGCAGAGCAGCTGTCAGGAGTCCACATACCACTTTGGAAGGATTTCTGAGACTTCATGCCACAAACAGGGTGGCCTTTCTTCCCCGGAGAGGGAGATGAAGGGAAGGATTTTCTTATTGCCTGTTTCCAGTGGATGTGGAGGGAGCAATTAAAAGAGAACTG